TTTTTTTTTTTTTTTTTTTTTTTTTTTTTTGGTAGGATGTCTCCTTTAAGTTGACAGAACAGAAATTCTGTAGATTGGTGTTATGAAGAAATTTGTTTCTTGGTACTTCAATTGTGAAATACAAATATACTAATAGGGACTGGTAGATGAAGTACAATAACGAAAAATATGCATTGCTACGCACTTATTATAGTGTGTGGAGTTAAATGGGTCACCCTGTGTATATGTGGACTCGTGAGGCGGGGTTTGGGAAGAAGTGATTTTATTTTGGACGAATTGAAGTTTTTGATAGTATGTGTATGGATGAAATTGGTTACTATTGTTTGTAAAATATTTTTTCTTCTGTTTCGTGACGAATTTGATGGTTTGATTTCAAATACCGTTTGAATTTTTCACAATTAACTTGGTACTCCATTTTTAATAATATTTAAATATCGTTTGAAATTTTGAGAATTAATTTTGTACTCTACTTCAAGTCCAATGATTAATTTCCACTTGAAGCAAATATTTTAAATAAATGTTTTTAATATTTTTAAGTCCAGTACTTGTGTATACTGTACCATAAAAACGTACGTATATGCATATTAAAATTATCCATATATAACGATGTGCATATATGATGCATGATTTCTTCGCCGTTTATTATATAACTGTAGATGAAACGTAAAATGGAACCTTACCAGAACCATAATTAATATAGCAAAATTCGTAATTGTATATTATGTAAATTCGTGTCTGAATAATTTACTAATCACACACGACGATAAAGTAAGTCGTCAAGTTGTTTTAAGTGGTAAAGGGCACAACAGTGGACCGACGGGTTAATCTGTCTCAAAGTAATCTTTCATTTGTCCAATGCAATTATGCTTGAAATTGTTACGAAGGGTCGATTCGAAGAACGCACCCAATTATCAGGGGCACCCGGTACGTGGGCAAGGGTCCGTTGAAACGAAACGACCGAGATATGACGTCTCTGTTCGAAACAGCGAAGGACGACACTATATAATTGCGTGCTTCCGTTTCAGGGTACTGGGGATACCATAGACAGGGTACGTGTCAAGCTGGATTCGGCGCTGCCATGTCCAAGGTAAGTCCGACAGAAAATATTAGACTCGTATAATATTTCACTTTAAATTAAAAATATTAGACTACTATTTCCATTTAAATTTCTAAAATTCTAAAATCTAGGCTATTTTTATTAGGCTAATACTTTACATTTCCAATAATATTCCACTATTTATTTATTATTCGTTCTAAAATTACACGAGCTGTCAATATGCATAATCTCCATAATTTTTACAATTTGTATTGAAAAAGTACTAATCTAAATGTTACTATTGACATTTGTGATACATAAGAATATTAATCCAAACATAAATCCAATATTTATTCGTTATTCGTTTTAAAATGACACGAGCTATCAATATAAATATATAATTCCCAAAATTTTCAGAATTTCGTATCGAAAAACAATATTAATCCAAATATTAATATTGATATTTATAAATAAATAAATTTCTAAACGTATAAAATTCTAAAATCTAGACTATTATTAGACTAATACTTCACATTTCCAATATTATTCCACTATTTATTCATTATTCATTCTAAAATTACACGAGCTGTCAATATACGTAATCTCCATAATTTTTACAATTTTGTATTGAAAAAGTACTATTCCAAATATTAATATTGATATTTATGATAAATGAGAATTTGAATCCAAAATTAAATCCAATATTTATTCATTATTCGTTCTAAAACGTCACGATCTATCGCAATATATAACTCCTGCAATTTACACCATTTTACATCGCGAAAAATTACAAATATTCTCGAAACACTGACAAATAAGACCCCCAAACCCTCGTGTCAAAAGGTCTTACAGTTTGCATAAAAAAAATTCCCAGAAATGTCCCTTTTCTAACCCAAATTCGCAAAAAAACCCTTTAACTACCCCACCAGTGAACTCGTCTTCGAAACAACTCCCAAGACCATCCGACACCAGTTTCACAAATCACCGTGCAGCATCCTCCATCCAGAAGCCAGACCAAAATCGGGGGGCCCGTTCGAGGGGGGATCGAAATTCAGCGTTGGAAACTATTGAAGCAACCGAGTCGAATGGAGGCCAAATACGAGGCTTTCCCGGTCCCCTGCACACTCTTCCCCCGCGATCTCGAACTGTTTAAGTCGCTGGCGTAAACACAGAGGGCCGTTGGATATAAATACGGTAACCCCACGTGTCCCGGCGGTTGCCACGTCCCAAAAGAGTTAAGAGGCGACACAGAGGGGTCGGGCGAAGAGAGCCGAATATGGCCAGGAATGTGAATTCCTGCCTTACGCACCTCGTGGCCATTCGTATTCGTGGTGCATGGCGAGGGTATAGAAAGCCGGCCTGCGTCTCTTTTTCTTCCTATCTACCTCTTCCTATATACCGATTGTCTTGTCGAAAGCTCGATTTTCTGGCCTGGTCGGCAGATCCCGGCGACCGATCGGACCGGGACACACCACGTAGGCGTCGACCCGTGGCTTTTGTCCCTTTTTCTCTCCATTCTTCCCTCTTCCCTCCCCCTTTTTCTATTTTTTCTCCCGACTCCATTCCGCCGGCAGATCGGCGCGTCCACTCGTGCGCAAGACACGTTCGTTCGTTGCACCTGCGTCCATGTGATACCTTCTTTCGTGGCTGGCCGGTGTCGCGATAAGTATCGCGGGGCCAATAGGTACGAATTCGAAATTGGTATGTCAGCGGTTTATCTCGGGGAGCCCCGGGGGCACGATAGGGGTGAGACGGTGCTGGTGAACGTGAAACGTATGAAGAATGTTGGTGGGTAGATGGGGTCGGGATGGGGTGACAGGGTTTTCGGCTTCGGGGATGAGTTAATCTCGAGGTCGAAGAGGTGTGAATTTTTGGTTCATGGGTGTTGCACGGTTGAATCGAGTAATTGTATTTTTATAATTTTATAGATACAGGAATTTAGTGATACAGATGATACATTCGTGTTTAGTGAAAATACTTTTTGGTTCCTTTTTTTGGTTTTTCTTTTAAATTGATCGGTTCATTTTTTATTTGTTTTTATTCGTTTATTAGAGGGAGACTCGTAAAGAAAGAAAACGAAAGAAAATCGAGTCACCCTCTAATCAACGAATAAAAATAAATAAATAATTAACCGATCAATTTAAAAAAAAAGCAGAAATATTTCTATAAGCAGGAATCATGAACAGTGTTACTAAGTTCTGAGAAAATTATAAAAATACAGTTACTCGATTCAACACTGCCAAGATTAATTCTTTATGTTGAAATGTATGTGAAAAATTCATAATATGCTGAGTTAAATTTAGTGAGAAGGAGCTTCATATCCTTTTGATGTAAACGATATAATAATCCTCTTCGTGTATAGGGAAGTAAATGAGTTATCATTCTACTTCTTTAGAATTTTGTATAAAAATTGCATCGATTAATTAGCTTCCTCTGCACCGAGATAATTATATGATCATCTGCATGTTTCATTTTATTCCTTTTTCATTCAAATTTATAGATTTTATTTCCCGTTGCATGTGAAAAGTAAATTCCAATTAATCCTGGATTATTCGTAATCAAAAAGAATTCTGATAATATTTAATGATTATACGTAATTAAGTCTGATAAAAATGGGATTCTCGAAGAACTTTTATTCAAGATAATGATTATTGTCACACACGAATAAGAAACAAAACTTCAATTTTATCTAACTCGCAACCAAAACGAGTAAATTGGGAATTCTTTTGAAAACTCATTTTAATTTAACGATAATTACATCATACACGACTACAAAATTACATTTTACCGGTATTTTTTGTAGTTAGTTATTTAATTTTTTAGTGAGTATCTTTTTTAGTTATATTGAAATTTATTTAAATTTTGTAATATTTATTAAAACCTTTCTCTTTATCTGATTTATATCCACCAAAAATTCTATGAACAAGAATTATATATTCTTCTCTCTGCACACATCTCGTATCTACCCCACAAAATATATTCTCTATTTTTAATTTCCTATTGGGTTTCTATTTTATGAAATAAAGATATTTGGTTTTTAAGGGATGACTTGTACTTTTTCAAATCTGCTTGTTACATTGACTGTTATTTCTCTCTATCTCTATCTCTCTCTCTTTCTCTCTTTCTCCCCCCACTTTCTTCATAACACGGACAATAATTATACACAAACAAGATACATAGATCTATCTAATTATATTATTATCTATATTCTATATCATATATTAGAACAACAGATGTCACGTTTCCATTTACATACGAACATTCCACAGAAAGAACGACATTTACAGTTATTCCTAACATTCTCAATCTCAAGAAACCCATTGAAAAAGCTCCACAAGAATCTCATCGTTGCCCAATTGAAACTCCAACCACGATCCCTTTGGAACCCCCAGATCTTACCCAATCTTCTCCACCTCCGATCTCGATCTCAGCTCGATACACTTTTCCTTTCCTTTCTCCACTCTTCCGGGGCCCGCGTGACCCAGAGATCTAATCTGCCGGGCGAAGGGGGGCAGGATTTCCGGCCAGGGGTTTCCAATACGCGGTTGGGAGCGGCGTTATCGGCCGAGCGGGACAGCTTCGATTGCCTGCAAAGAAATAGTGGGACAATTCCGTGGCCACTCAGCCGGCTATCTCGCTGTGGATGTATAATTCAGAATTGTCCGGCTATATGGCAGATGTTTAATGCATGCCGTGTGGCATTCAATGTTAATACCCCACCCTCGCGGTCAATCGTGCTCTTACCCACGGTCTCCGAGTCGTGAAACGACGCTGGCGCAATGATTTTAGGCAAATTCGATTCTCTTCTGCGTCTCCTGGCCCCCTGCCCCCCCTGGTCTCGCGGCCAGTGTTCCCGTCGATCTTTATTCGCCGTTTTCGGAGTCGCGCCGCGACTCCAACAGCTGGTCGACGCTCGCGAATTCTAATGGGACGCTTTAAATCCGCGATGAAGACGTGGCGAGTCACCTTGATGGCGTTTTAGGAAGCTTCGCGAAGTTCCAGGGTGGGGCACGCGAGGTTTTTAAATGGATTTCCTCGCGGGTTGGGTTGTTTCTCAGATTGGCAGCTCGTTTGACTTGTGAGGTTATCGTTTGGTGAGTCTGGATGTGGAGAAGTGGAAGAATTGTTGATGGAGGTTTTCAGGAAGCTTCGGAGAATTTTGGGATGTGTTTGGAAAAGGATTTTAAGTGGAAAAATTGTTGATGGACGTTTTCAGGAAGCTTCGGAGAATTTTGGGATGTGTTTGGAAAAGGATTTTAAGTGGAAGATGGTGTGAACAAAAATGGACGCCAATATCTTCTACGTTTTTTAACAGTTAACATGTTATATTATTTTAAATAAAAAAATTGATTGACATTTTCTAGAAAATTCTTCTCTCTCTCTTTCTCTCTCATTTTTATTAACTCATGTTTACTTTGACGATTCTCACGTAATTGTTTCATTGTGGCACATTCTTCTAAACATTTTTTAAACATCATTCATACTAGACTCTACTCCTACATATATTTATATCATCGTAAATGTATTTCACTTATTCTACCTCATTCCCATTCACACATACGAGACCAACACTTACAAGCTTCCAATGTTTAAAATTCAGTAATCAAAATATTTCGAATTTTAAACAAGCAGTGCTAAAAATTATTGAATATTTAAAATAATTTCGATTAAACAAAATTAATTTTGTCAATTATAAAGACTCTAGTTAGAATCAGTTATCTGGCTCGTAACATAATTGGTAACGATGAAATATCAATAATAATAAGAACAATTCTTTATTTAATTAAAAAAGAAATAATCAGACACAAATATTAAGTATCAAACTTTATTTAATTACAAAAAGTGATCAAACACGAATCTAATTAATTTCTCGCAGTCACATGCTCACAATACTTCTCACTATTAAAACTCAGTTGCAACTGACCTATACCAAATCACTCTCGTTTTGTTCTTTCTTCTTTCATACATTACATCACATACACAATTCACACAATACCTTAATCATTACACGCATACTCATTTATCACGATAACCTGAATTCATTAGATATT